GATCAAAAAAAGTTTAATCATGATTTCAATGCCTTAGGGCGGGTTTTTCAGATAAAGATAATCTACATTCTTTGTGTTAAACCTAGTTTAATATATGTTTTGTGTTTTTCAGTAAACAGTAACGTTACTTATTATCTTAGTTTAACTGAGTGTTATTGGCCAATTAAACTTAAGTTATAAGTGAGAAGACACAATTACCAAAAACAATAAAACAATGATTTCGGAAGAACAAAAACTTAATATTTTAAGTAAATTGCAATTTTCTGATTTGTTTTGTTTTATATATAATTGTTTTAAATATTTATTTAACATTTTTCCAAAATTTTTCATTTTACAAATGTATTATTTGCAAAAAACAGCTGTTCATTGTTTATGTTTTTGAGTGAAAAGTTGGCAATACTAACAAAGTTAATTCAACTTAAATCCATAACTGAAAAACACAATCATCGGTTAAAGTCCGCCTAAAATTTGTTCCGAGTTTAATCTAACAGCAAGTTAAGCCTAGTTTAACTGAGTAGTAAGAAACCCGCCCTTAGACCCACAAATTTTTAACCTAGAGACCAAAGTATACTTTTCTAAAGGATATAGTTGGGATGAATACGAATCTGGTCTTGGAGGAGGAAAGAAGACATAGCAAAGGTTGAAGGTTTATTTTAAAGTCGATAGATTGGACTTTTAGATGACATAACAAATTTTATAAACAAAAGGTCTCAAATCGGGGGTATAAGAAAACTTAGGGGCATTAAATCTCGAAATTCTAAAGATTCGCATTTAGAGCAGCTCAATCCATTATAAAAGTGTACATTGGTCTGGGAGTTGTTGGCCGGTGTAATCAAACGAATGGGCGTAATTAGAACGTCTTCAAATTTTACAAGAACCCAAAGCATATAAAGTTTTGTGGGTCTACATTCTACATTTAAATGTTTTACAAAGGGAAGAGTAATCATTTTTGATGATGGACATAAAATGGGGACATTTGTGAATAAAGTAAATCGATCTTCGGAATTAGTATTATGTATATGTTAAAATGTTTAAATCGGCTAAAAAATGGCCCCTACAATGTATTTTCAAATAATATCGTTTTGTACTGTTTAACTTATTCATTATTTACACATACATATAGTAGTATGTCTTAATAAAAATCGTGTTTGTTTACATTTACTATGTAAATGAAAATAAACTTGTAATATTGTAACGTCCATATTTTAATGTTTAGATATTTATATATTTGCATTTCTTCCGATGATGATTTTATTCAGATTGTCATCTGACAATCAGTTGTCATGTCAAACTTTACTCTGCGTACAAATACAATATGACACATATTGTTTGCTACCTGTTAAATGAATTATCCATATTTATAATATTGATTATTTATTTTACAAATATGTAAAATGTGTTTATGTTAAAACTGAAAAATACGGGTCAACATGATAAGTAGTATTTGTGTCTGTCTTTCTTCATACAAAATATATGTTCACACTTATCAAATATTAAAAAATAATGTGATGTCAAACCCTTAAATAAAGAATAAATTTGAACACGATGTAAGTATGTAATATTTGTTAAGTGTGAACGCACATATCTTAAAGAATTTCCATAGATAAATATGGGCATTACAAATATGCATTTTTTTGTTTTTTTGTGGTATCGATATTAAATTCCAATTTACAAGGTCATACCAAAAAACGTCACATATTGTTATGTACTTGAATGAATACATATAGGTATTTATGTTCTATATGGTTACAGATACCAAATTTTAATAAACCTAATTCGTACAATTTATCAATAAAGGAAAATTTTAATTAACTATGGTTTTTAGAATTTGATAAAACAATTCATATTTAGAACAAACTTGATAAGACAATTTTTAGAAGCAATAATAATTATGGAATGCTCCCTATAAGACTTGGTTATTGTCATATCAAATGTTGGGAACAACTCCAACAAAATTTGTATTTACGCTGATAAAATGGGCGCAAACTGCAAATATTACTGTGGGTATATCAAATCTTACGGATTTCATCAATTATTCCCAAACCTATTACTCCAGAGAAATTTTGATTTCGATATCTCGAAAAATTTCACAAGGTCGCTATGCAAAAAAGTATAGACAACATGTTCTACGAATTATCACACACAAGATGGAGAAATGAACAAACCAAAAACACTATTATGCACTTTCATAATAGTAGTATTGAGTTCAAATACTTTATCTTTCTTATTGCCCAACTAATACCTTACCTATTCCTTAATATTTAATCTGCATCCTATCACACTTTTTAAAATTTTACGACTTTCAATTTCATAATTTATACAAATTCTCGAAATTATTGATACTTTTGGAAACAACCCATTATTAATAAAACTCGCTGAAACATATATATGTGTATGTACGTGAAATGTCTCCCAGGGAGACATTATATCATGTGTATAAAAGATAAGTGTGAATACCACACTGATCATTACTAAATAAAGAAATACATCACCACAAGATGAATGTACTTTTTTTACCCTACACCACTTTAGTGGGGAGGATATATTGGGTTTGTGCTGATGTTTGTAACATACAAAAATATTCGTCATATACCCACCTTAAAGTATACCAATCGGCTTAGAATCGTTTTCTGAGTCGATTAAGCTATGTCCGTCCGTCTGGCTGGCTGTCCATGTAAACCTTGTGCGCAAGGTACAGTTAGATAATTGAATGAAATTTGGCACGCACGTTTTATTTGGCCCAAAGACGAAGCCTATTGAAAATGGTTAAAATCGGTCCATTATTTCACCTAGCCCCCATAGAACAGAACCCCCGAAAAGGGCTTTTGAGCTCATAATTATGTTAAATATACAGGTATATCGATAAAATGCGGCACAACTAAGTTTTATAAAAGTCTTGATGACCCTGCCAAATTTCATAAAGATCGGGCCTCATTTGACCCTAGCTCCCATACAAAGTCCCCTTCAGAAAATTACTTGCATGTTCAAAATTAACTTATAAACACAAATATTGCGATGAAATTCAGCACAATAAAATATTATGTAAATATAAATATATTCACAAAATTTTATCGGGCTTAGTCCATATTTGCTCCTATGCCCCATATAAAGCCTCTTTCGGAAAATTAGTTTTTCATCCATAAATTGCTTAAATGTATCGGAACAAGGGAATATTGAAGATAAATGCTTTATTATGAAAAATAAATCACATTTAATATTCATAACTGGAGTAGGGTATCATATGGTCGGCCACGCCCGACTATACTTTCTTACTTGTTTTTATATAGATTTTACACCAATTAAAATCGAACTCGTAAATACATAGTGTATGTATTAAAATTACACACAAATAAATGATTTATTTTGAAAATACTCTATCCCTAACTATAGATCCAATGAGTCTATTTAAAGATTTTTCTTCTTGGAAGTCATTCTTTTCCTAATTTATCTTAACATGGAATTTTCTAATATATTTTTTTATGTAATGTAAATATTTGTGTTTTCAAATATTTCCAAGTCAACAAAATTGTTAATCTATATTGAATTTATGTATCCGTATGTTTAAAATTCCAATTGATAAAATATCACCACCTACAAGATATCTTTTTGGAGACAACACGTATTTTACGCGTGCTATTTTAATAGCAATTATATCAAATTTAAAAATCAGTGTAAATTTTGAAAAATTTGTCAGTTACAATTTGATAATAAAATATATTTGAATGCCAATTATACTCATGTAAAAAGCACGCAAAGCTCAATATTTAACAATTATATTATTTTATTTATTATGATAAATAAATAGTTACTCCTACTATAATGTTTATAAATTTATATTAAATAAATATCGCATAAATATATTTAAAGTGCTTTTCGATACCTTTATATGATCGATACCCTTATATGATTTATTGCGAATTATATACAATACATTTCAATATTTTAAGTGTTTTTGGATCTTAAATTAAATTAATGAAAAAGGCCTAATATCAGGTCTAGAAAGAGTGATTGGTATTGCAAAATTTAGATAAAATGATATTCAAGGGAATGGTATCAGGTACATGCATCCAGAGCGCGTAAGAACGTAACATTTTTATATGGAGTTTGACATTCGCGCGTTTTAAGCCTATTACAAGTCCATTTATAATTAAGTGAACGCGACGAACCATATGTGATTTATTTTGTGATGAATTTTATATTGGTCCCGATATATTTAAGAAATTTATTGACGAATAACTAATTTGAGGCTTTATATGGGAGCTAGGGGCAAATATGGACCGATCCCGATAAAATTAGCAAAGACTAAAATTTACATAACATTTTTGTGCTGATATTAGGGTTTATAAGTGAACTGTTAACATTCTGTAGGGGCAAAAAAAGCCCGGTCATTACCAACGTTGACAAGGTCATCAGGCGAGATGCAAGTACATATATTTAACATAATAATGAGCTTAAAAGCCCTTTTCGGGAGTTCAGTTGTACGGGGGATAGGTGAAATAATGGGCCGAATTTAATTACTTTTAATTGGCACATACACCAATAATAGCGTATATGCTAAATTCCATCAACTCCATCTTGAAAATTGCGACCTGTAGAGTGCACACAAGGTTTACATGAACACACAGACGGACAGACATAGCTTGATCGACACAGAAAGTGATTTTGAGCCGATTGGTACTTTAAGGTTGGTGTAGGACCAATATTTTTGGGTGTTACAAACATCAGCACAAACGCATAATAACCTCCCCACTGTGATGGTGTAGGGTATAAAAACTTGTAAACAATATCCAGCAGAGCTAACGATATAACCTTGTAGTCAGTTCACCCTGGAAATATTTAAATATCTTCTATTTAAAGCCGAGTCCAATCATCCACAATTAGAATTGTTACAATAACCATATATAATTGTAATAACCATATCGAAGCATATTTTTTCTCTGCATGCAGAGCTAGCTGTAAAAGACTAATTAGCTAATCCTAATTTCTTTATCTAATTTTAGGTACCATGATACCCAAATCTGGTGGGGATTATGCATATATAGGAACAGCATTTGGTCCACTGCCAGCCTTTTTATATCTTTGGGTAGCCTTATTAATATTAGTACCTACTGGTAATGCAATTACAGCATTGACATTTGCTCAATATCTTTTACAACCATTTTGGCCATCCTGTGAGGCGCCTGCCGAAGCAATACAGCTGCTGGCGGCTGTTATAACATGTAAGTAAAAGCTATAATTAATACTATAACTATTATTAATTATACATATATTTTCATTTATTTTGTTAGGTATTCTGACCGTTATTAATTGCTACAATGTTAAATGGGTGACAAGAGTTACCGATATTTTCACTGGCACCAAGGTATTTGCTTTATTGGTGATTGTAGCGGCTGGAGCTTGGTATTTATTTGCGGGTAATACCGAGAACTGGAATGAACCTATGAAGGGGACACTCACACAACCCGGCTTAATAGCTTTGGCTTTTTATAATGGTCTATTTTCGTACTCCGGTTGGAATTATTTGAATTTCGTAACAGAAGAACTAAAGGATCCTTATAAGAATTTACCAAAAGCCATTTGTATATCCATGCCTGTTGTTACCATCATTTATGTAGTGGCTAACATTGCCTATTTCTCTGTGCTAACTCCTGAAGAAATGTTGTCCTCCAATGCCGTGGCGGTTACATTTGGCGATAGAATGTTGGGTTTTATGGCCTGGTTGATGCCATTCTTTGTGGCCTGTTCAACTTTTGGTTCATTGAATGGTGCAATTTTTGCCTCATCACGTCTGTTCTTTGTTGGTGCTCGCAATGGTCATTTACCCGCAGCTATTTCCTTGATCAATGTCAATTGTTTAACACCTGTGCCTTCACTTATATTTCTGGTAAGCAACTAATAGCTAATTGTAAACTTTTAAAATAAATAAAATTAATTTTGAATTTATTTCTTTTTCCTTTAGTGTGTTCTAACCTTAATTCTATTGTTCATAAAAGACGTTTATGCTCTCATCAACTATGTAAGCTATGTGGAAGCTCTATTCACTTTAATTTCTGTTTCCGGTTTATTGTGGCTACGTTACAAACAACCCAAAACCGAAAGACCCATACGTGTCAATCTAGCTTTACCGATTGTCTTCTTAATCATCTGCCTCTTCCTTGTGATCTCATCGTTCTTCCAATCACCACTTGAAGTAGGTATCGGCACTGCTATTATTTTATCTGGCATTCCTGTCTACTACATGACAATACATCGACCGGTTGAATGGCTCACGAATATGTCACAAGCCATTAATATGTGGTGTTCAAAATTCTTTATTTGTATGCCAAATCAAGAAAAATTTGATTAAGTTTATTTTTTGTAATGCTTTAGAGATTAAATTATTATTAGTAATGAAAACATAAAAGACTAATTCAAATTAATATACAGCATTCTAGATTGTGTTGTATGTTTAAAATGTTGAAATGTATACATTTATGTACAATGTATTCGATACGTAGTTATTTACTGTAAAATACATAATGATACTGAAGAGAAATTATTAGAAATTGCGTGCCTTTTGCCTCGCAACAAAAAAAAAAAAAAAACAAACAAATCATTTTTCATACAGACAGTGTTGGGTAAAAGAAATTGCAAATTAAATTATTAAAATAACAAAATTTTAAAACTAAGTCAATTCTATTGCAATCAATAATGGTACAATTATATTTGTTTACATAAATTTTTTCCAAATATACTCATTTTGTTGTAATAAATCTTCCTTAAAAGATCACCTTTGCTTTTGTTTTACACAACACTGTAAAAATGTATGAGCACATGTCGTATATCATAGAAAATAAGATTTAATTATTTGGTTTATACGAAAATATTCTAGTATGAGTTCATTACATATTATTTTAAATATTTTGTAATTATTCTTGCATTACAATTTGTTATTGTTTTTCTTTTTTTGGAAAACTTTAAACTTATGTTGCACAAAAAGACATTTTTTTTTATTGTAGATTAAAATTTATACTAAAAAACTATAATTTATGTATAGTGGCTAGCAAAAGTGTAATATGTTTTATACTTTATAGGAATAATAAAAAATATCGCAAAAGAAAATGCAAAAATATATGCAGTTTTTTGCTCGTCACTTTACTAAATGCCTTTATATCTATTTGCATATTATTAAATATTTGTACTAAAAATTATGTAATTTATTTTTAATACTTAAGCATAAGTACATACATATATTATGTAAAATTCTATTAAAAATAATATGTATTCTAAAAGAATTAAGTTGTACAACTCGAAATAAAATTTATTTGAAGGAATTATACACATATTTCTACATCAAATGAAAAAAATATGTCTATTATTATGAATTTATTCAAATTTAATCCATATGCGAAAGATTAAACCAAATTAGGGCGGGTTTCTTACTACTCAGTTAAACGTGACTTAACTTGCTGATAGATTAAACTCTGAACAAATTTTGCCGGCATTTAAACGATGATTGTGTTTTTCAGTAATGAACTAAAGAGCAGTTAATTTGTTAGTATTGCCAACTTTTTCTGTCAAAAACATAAACAATTTGTTTAAACCTAGTTTAGTCTATGTTTTATGTTTTTTTAGTAATCAGTTACGTTACTTAGGGCGGGTTTCCTACTGCTCAGTTAAACTAGGCTTAACTTGCTGTTAGATTAAACTCGGAACAAATTTAGGCGGACTTTAACCGATGATTGTGTTTTTCAGTTATGGATTTAAGTTCAGTTAACTTTGTTAGTATTGCCAACTTTTCACTCAAAAACATAAACAATGAACAGCTGTTTTTTGCAAATAATACTTTTGTAAAATCAACAATTTTGGAAAAATGTTAAATAAACATTTAAAACAATAATAAATAAAACAAAACAAATTGGAAAATTGCAATTTACTTAAAATATTAAGTTTTTGTTCTTCCGAAATCATTGTTTTATTGTTTTTATTAATTGTGTCTTCTCACTTATAACTTAAGTTTAATTGGCCAATAACACTCAGTTAAACTAAGATAATAAGTAACGTTACTGTTTACTGAAAAACACAAAACATATATTAAACTAGGTTTAAACAAAGAATGTAGATTATCTTTATCTGGAAAACCGGCCCTTAATATCTAAGTTTAACTGAGTGTTACTGTCCAATTAAACCTAAGTTATAAGTGAGAAAACACATTCAACAAAAGTAATTTGATTTGTTTTATCAATATTATTATTTTCAATGTTTATTTTAAGTTTTTCTACAGTTTTTCATTTTACAAAAGTAATATTTGCAAAAAACAGCTGTTAATTGTTTATGTTTTAGACTGAAAAGTTGGCAATACTAACAAAGTTAACTGCTCTTAAATCCATAACTGGAAACACAATCATCAGTTTAAAGTCCACCTAAATTTGTTCTAACAGCAAGTTAAGCCTAGTTTAACTGAGTAGTAAGAAACCCGCCCTATGTAACTGAATACTGAAAAACACAAAATTTAGATGAAACTAGGTTCAAACAAAGAATATTGATTATTCTTCTTTCAAATCTGTTGTTCACTTTAGTTTGATTTTAAAGGTGGAAGTACACAACACGCGTTGTACGCGGCTTCTGTCAAAAAAAGTTGAAATAGTGTATTTTCATTTAAAAAGCTACACATTGTAGTTTGTAACGCGTCTGCCGCGAAAAGTTCAGCAACTGTCAACTTTTGACGCGTCGGCAGCTGATCAGGGTTGTATTTTGTTTTGTGTAGAAACTAAAATTAAGTAAATTTCTCCCACAATATAAGAAAAATATTAAAAACTATACAAAAACTTAAAATTTTGATTTTTAAAACAGTAATAGTCTTAAAAAACATTAAAAGAAAGATCAAAATGGCGCGTGGTATTTAACTTGCTGCTTATAAAGCGCGAAAAGTTTTAAAAGCGTAAAACGCGTTGCCGCCTCAATGCGTGTTGTGTACTTCCACCTTAAGATTTGATTTGAAATACTGCGTTCTTTAGATCGGTTTCAACTTTCTTTTTTATATAATTTAAATGGACAATATATACAATCTTGTAGTACCGTCAGCAAATCATTGTAATAAGGTCTAATATAAGGTCCTATAGCACCGTGCAACAGTCGTTTTCACACATTAAAAAGTCTATGTGTACAGGAAACTGTGGACCATTAGTATTAACGCTGTGTACTCAGTTTTCCATAATCAGCTCTTATGTCCCTGTAAAAGGACATTAGAGTTTAAAGGACATACGATTTCAAAAGATAGAATTCCAAATTTATATAAAAAATTTGGTGTTAATATTAATATCAAATGAATCTGAGGACCTCTGCTTCAAAATAATATTATTTATTTCAATTCATCAGGATTAAAAAAGAAATGAATGCTTAAAGAATATTTGTCACAAAAAAGTAGTTACAAATTTTTGTTACGAAAATGAGACCTTTTTTAAATTTAATTTCTTTTTCGATTTTTTGTCTAAGTGAGTCGAATAAATAATATAGATAGAATGTACAGATTCCCAGTTTTCATTTGATACCAATATTAGCATCACACAACAAATATAAATATTTAAAATATTCTTTTGAAATTGTAAGTCTTTTAAACTTTAAAGTCCTTTTATAAGGATATAAGAACTGATTATAAAAATCGGAGTACGCAGAATTGCTATAAATGGAATCTAGTTTCACATGCATATCAACTTTTCTATGTGTGAGACCTCTTTTTCAAAATTGTTACAGGGTGTAATAGACTATCAACACAAAATTCGGAAAAATAATTAAAATTTATGAGTGCCACTTCTGAATTTCCGAATAGCGCCCTGCAATGGGGATTCAGATTAAATTACTTAGTACTTACTAAAAATGGGTGTGGTCAACTATAAACTGGTCCTCGTTAAATTTGATAAATTAATCATTTAATTTCAAGCTTGTTTATGTCAAATTTCTTCCCGGTAATGGTATTGTACCTGGTATTTGAATATCGGTATTGTAACTGGTATTTGAATATCGGTATTTATACCGATAAACTGATTTCAGTATCGGTGTCAATACCGGTATTCAATTTTAAACGGTATTTAATCGGTATTAATAATGGTATCGGTTGCCAACCTTGTTATTAAATGCTATCGAACATTATAGAACATTCAAATAATATTTTGTAGAGGCTTGCACTTTAGTAAAATTAAATACGTTGTTTTTTAATAGCACCCAAAAATATGCAATCGTTTTTATTTAACATTCACCATATTTGTATAAAAAATTTGAGTTACCATACTTCCATCAGTGAAGTTCACCCCCTATTAAATTATTCATAAATTTTTTGGGATCTTATCATTATGGTTAGACCGAACTGTAACGGTAACAAATTTTGATACACTTCTAATAAAAACAAGTAAGAAATTATAGTCGGGCGGGGCCGATTTATGTGATTTATTTTTCATAATAAATCATTTATCTTCAATATTCCCTTGTTCCGATACATTTAAGCAATTTATAGATGAAAAACTAATTTTCTGAAAGAGGCTTTATATGGGGGCTAGGGGCAAATATGGACCAAGCCCGATAAAATTTTGTGAATATATTTATATTGACATAATATTTTATTGTGCTGAATTTCATCGCGATATTTGTGTTTATAAGCTAATTTGGGACATTCAAGTAATTTTCTGAAGGGGACTTTGTATGGGAGCTAGGGTCAAATGTGGCCCGATCTTTATGAAATTTGGCAGGGTCATCAAGACTTCTATAAAACTTAGTTGTGCCGTATTTTACCGATATATCTGTATATTTAACATAATTATGAGCTCAGAAGCCCTTTTCGGGGGGTTCTGTTCTATGGGGGCTAGGTGAAATAATGGACCGATTTTAACCATTTTCAATAGGTCAAATAAAACGTGCGTGCCAAATTTCATCCAATTATCTTGAAAATTGCGACCTGTACCTTGCGCACAAGGTTTACATGGACAGCCAGCCAGCCAGACGGACGGACGGACATAGCTTAATCGACTCAGAAAATGATTCTAAGCCGATTGGTATACTTTAAGGTGGGTCTAGGACGAATATTTTTGTATGTTACAAACATCAGCACAAATCCAATATACCCTCCCCACTAAAGTGGTGTAGGGTATAAAAATTATTGAAAAATTAATTCAGAGAATAACTATGTTTAACCATCAATGAAATTCCGAAAACTCAACAAAAATATATACATATGGTGCTCGAGATAACGAAGTAATGGTCTTCCAAGTTATCTGTACATGATCTTGTGTGTAAAATTAAAACATTGCCGGTGTTTTTAAAACAAATTATGCCAATTTGATCAGATTTTAATGGGGTTTCATAGTGTGGTTCGTATTCATTTATTTTGTAACAGAGAATATTTTTATCTAAACTGTTTTTAAAAGTAATTATATTGTAAATGCACTTATTAATTGATTTTTAGAAAAGAACTATTAAAATTCAGATTCAGAAATTCAAATCAAATTGGAAAAACAAAATTGGAGTTGAGATTTTATATTTCAATATCGAAAGACCTAAAATTCGGAAAAAATGAGAAAATAATGATACGACAATTATACACTATATGTTCAATTTCAAATTATTTTCCGAATTTCATATAAAAACTTTAATTATCTTTCACTTGTTCTTTTCAGAATTTGCAACAAATAAATCTCATTTATAATTGATTTTTCTGAATATCAAATTCAATTGTTCTTTTCCGAAATCGAAAATCTTAATTTCAATTGAATTTCACTGAATGCAAAATTCAATTATGCATCTCTGAATTCAAAATATATATAATCTCAATTTTAATTGAACTTCTCTGAATTCAAAATTAAAAGTTGTCATTTTCTTTTAATTTAAAGTCATTTATATGGGGATAGGTCAATTATGGACCGATTCTCATAAAATTCGATAGAGAGATTTTTGCTCGTAAAAAACTTACTTATATCGGATTTCAGCGCTATACTCTTATTTTCAAGCCAGTAGTGACGTTGAAGTCATTTTCTGAGTAGGACCTTGTATGGGGGATAGGGTAAGTTATGGACCGATCCTCATAAAGTTCGGTAGGAAGATTTTTGCTATATATACATACATAGATTCATCGCTATACTCGCATTTTCTAAACAGTTATGACTATTATATCTGTTTTTCGAGGGGCCATTTGAATGGGGGCTATGTGAATACGTGGACCGATATTGCCCATTTTTAATACCAAACAAACCTTACCTATGAGAAATATTTGTGGAAACTCTCTCAACTCTCTAGCTCTTTCCGTTCGGACTCTATCCTGCTTTCAACGGACAACAGAAGGGAAACCTCCGGCTGCTTTTCTTAAGGGTTCTCAAAAGAG